ATATTTTTATTGGTTAAATATTGTTTTTTAGTGATGTAAAAAATAATATTATGTAAGAGTACAAGGAATATTCTCTTTTATTATAAAGTTAAGTGTCTGTTTGGTGTAGTTGAAATTTTTAATAGAAGCCTTGTTGGAAAGAAACTGTTAGGGAAGTGTTCTTTTTTTAAATAAAAAAATGAGGATAAAATATAAATAATGTGTCAATTTTATTAAAACCCAACTGAAAAACTCCTGCAAATTGATGGTTTTGAAATTTACAATGAAATGAAGAAAAAATTAATTTATGAAAAATTATAACATTTTTCACTAGTTGTAACATTTAGTACGGCTTGTGTTTTTTAAGTCAAAAAGTCCTTTGTACAAACTGCACCAAACAGGTCTGATAACTACTACAGTAGAAACAAAACAATAACATGCATCTATTACTTAAGTATCTGTCCTTTTCTGCTGAAATGTTTATTTCAGTGCATAAAATAACATGTCATGTTGTATACAACATATCATTTTCATATAATAATAATAATAATAATTATTATTATTATTATTGAACACCTTATATAAATGCATCCATTCTCCATCGTTTGTGTAATTTTCTTCAATAAAATTATAAATATGCGTCATTTCTTGTTCATCCGGCCTCTCTCTACGAGTCACTGCCTCCCGAAAAGTAAGCTAATATGATAAAACAAGAACATACCAATCAGAAACATCGACGTTTCATAGCCTTGAAAAAGAATCAGGAAAATAATGAAAGCCTAAGACACTTGAATACATGCATAGTATTGGCAGTGTCATCATATATATATATATATATATATATGCTTGAAAGTGAGAGAATTCAATCTGCTTTTTTTTTTTTTTTTTTTTTTTTTGTATATATGCTTGATTCTGACGTGCAACACGGTGGTGGATCCTCCTCCCCCATAGCAGTATCATTTGCTTTAGTCAATTTCAGTTTTACGTCAATCACTTCGCTTTTTTGAACCCTACAACGGAATAATACATTTTTTCTTTTAAACATTGGGGAATTTTCGATTTGGTAAAAAGGGGTAATTCTTTAGAAGTGATCTCTGAGAGTAGAACCCCCAATCTTGGAGGCAAGGTTTAAACCATATATATGATCAGAATTAGAATTGTCAAGAGTGGACCTGCATAATAATTAAGGATATTGTTTATAATTAAGGTTATTGTTTTTTATTTTCTTATATTGATGTCAAATTTTGAACAATTAAAATTGACAATAGAGAGTCAAAGTAAAAATATGATCAACAACTAATCAAGTATAAATTTTCAAAATTAATAACGAAAATTAAAATTTCAGGAGAAGTAATGTCACTAAAAAAATAAAAAAAAAGAAACCTTAATTGCAAATTGTCGTAATAGAAACATCATAAATATTATTTTAGTATAAATTATCGTAATAGACAACATTGCAAAAGATATATATAAATATATTGTAGTGTGTAGAGAAATATTTGTTGGAATTTAAATATTTTAATAAAAAATAAAATAATATATTTTACAAATTAAATTTATTATTTTATTAAGAATTTGTTCAAATTAACCATTATAAGTTAGTTGTCCTATTTAAAGACACATTATTTTATAATAATTGCTTAATTTATTCCTATCTTTATCTTATAAATGGAAGTTATAAGACCATAAGCCCTCTAAATAGGACATGGTTTTTTGCTCAACAATGGTGAGTTCCTTCACATTCTCCTATTTTTCTTACTTTACTTTATCTTTTAAATATTTTTGGGTAAAGATGGATATTTTGAGTTTTGTGACTCTATAAGTAGGGTAAATTTATAAAATGTAATTATAAAGTTGTAGCATTTTGG